CACCCCCTGTGACATGTGAAAACTATGCCGACGACAGTCCCCGCTGCGTCCCCTCGGCCACAAAAAGAGAACAGACAAGAACGGAAACGGTACGGTTGCAGAGGTGTCTCTTCTTTCTCGCAAGCAAATCTACTTAGTCAAATGTGGGGGTGGATAGAAGGGAAACGCGCCAATTATGTACCGACTACCCTTTTACAAGTCGAACAAAGAGTAGCAGCACCAAAAACTTAACTTGAGACTGCTTCCGCTTGCCTTGCACCTGCTGTGCCGTTTCCAAAGATGCACAGAAAGACGGGAAAAGATCAGTCCGGCGTGCCCCTTATAAATACACAAGAGGTCAGTGAAAACGGCCGTGGGTGGATTACACGATTGCTGCAACGGCGGCAAGCCCCGCAACAAACATGTTTGCGTTAATAAGGGCGCAGTTGCCGAAACTGCTGAACAGCGCAACCAATTTGCTGCCATCAATGTGCGCAGTAGCAAAGGTGCATAGGCGAGTGAAGAGGAGGGAAAACTGATTCCCAAGAGGAGTGTCTAACTCACGTGGGACCTTAGTGGTGGTAGGATAACTGGCACGTGACCAGTCAGCTTTCGTAAACAAACAAAAAACATGGGATACTGTTTGCTCGCAGTGTCTGGGATGTTCTTCCACCCAACAGCAGTGTTGACCTTCAACTTGCGTTGGGTTTACTGTCTAAGCTCCCTGAAAATGGGTTAATGGTGTTTTGCACTAAAACAAAGATCTGCAGCTGCCGGGCATTCACACGGTCAGTCATCATGTGCAGTTGTGAATGAGGGAGACTACGTGTGAAAGACCGCTGGAGAATCAGGGCGGAAGTTTCTAATTTTGGGAAAGACCGAAAAACGGACTAATTGGTGGCAGCGGTTAGTAAACAAGAGAGCAGCTAGTCTTACTAGTATTAATCCTGCTGTCTTCTTCTCCTGTCGGGTAAATAGAAGCCGGGAAGCATAGCGTCAAGGCAGATTAAAACCAAAAAGCGAACAGAGGAAGCAACTATCCTTATAAACAGTACAGGGGTACAAAAACGGTACAATGTTAACGAGAGTATTCAGGGTTGAGAGACCAGCGTTAATAGTTCTTGTCACTAAGGGAAGTTTTCTACATTTCAGCTAAGAAGTCATGGCTGATGGAAATTAGCCATAAACAGACGAACTCACTTTAGCTTATCTTTCTGAAGTACGTGCTGACCGATTCGGGTCATTTTGTCTAGGAAATCGTCAATGGCCCGTAACTGGCTCTCCTCCCCGAGACGCGTGGCTAATCGGCGCATCAGTGAAGCTTGCTCAAGACCCGACCACAGCTCGCGTATACGACCCAGGGAAGAGAGGTTGGAGGCAGCTCGGCGCATGGCGAAGCGGTGTGCTGGAAGGGGTAGGGAGAAGGGCGCAATAAGGTGGAAGGTGTGATAGTCTACGATATCTAAAATCAAGGTATGTTCTATATTAACCGAATCAGTGAAAGACCCTTCCCGGCAGTTAATATTGCCGATCTTCACCCAACTCCATGATAGATTATTGGACTGAAAGCTTAAAAGAACTGCCGACCTTGGGATGCCAAGTCAGTCAAAGCTGAAATCGATTATGAACCAGAGATATTATTCGAGTCGCTCTCGTTTCTTTTAGTATTGCATTTATTGCTGTAAGGCGACCGCAACTGCGCACCTGAGGACCATCCTTCGAGTAAGGTCTACCAACTTCGTCTCAAATGAGACAGTCCGCACTCGCTGCGACAGTATCGCAAGGATATATCAGGCCATCCAAGAAAAACGACTGAGAGAGGCTTGGGCACGTTCTCAATCGTCCGCTCCACGAGCTTCGCTATGCTGCCCTCGATCCGGCAACGCAGCCCACCTGGAGGCGTCGAAGAGGAAGGTAAAGCAAGACTTGGTTCGATGCCGTTCGTCAAGATACGCAAGCGGTTCTTGGAGCTTCGACTTTCGGTCTCCGTCGCTGGAGAAGAGAATGGGTGGAGCTTTCCAGATCCGATGCCACCAATCGTCACGCGTGAAGACGTACCGTTCGTGACACCGTTGAGGCCGGCTAGATCAGGCATGATCACAGCCGTAACAAGTACGGGTAAGTAAGTACTGAGCGCTTCAGATATGCAAGACATAAGTAAATAAGAATATCCAGTTCCCTTAACAAGATCGATGGACGCCCTTTCCCCTTTATGTTCACGGTAACGGCGTCCAGCAGTAGGACGAATTGTTAGAGAGGTAGTAAAAAATGTGACTGGAAGACAGATAAGAATGTTTAGTTCATTCGCGATTAACAAGGTCGACAATTCCGTCCAATAAAACATTATATCTTACTACCTAAGTCACACCTTCATTTAGTCTGTAAGAAGCCCCACTAAATTCAGGATCTCGTCCTTACGTCAACCATAAAATGGGGTAGCAATTCTGAGACGAGGGGCCCCGAATTGAAATGAATACCATAACAGCATTTCCACTGTCAACCAAAATGGCAGTCGAGAGCTCGAAAAGCACTATCAACTCGACATAAATTAAACATTTCAAACGAATTTTCACAATTGTTAGAGGACTCTTGAAAACCGAAAAAACAACGCCATCCATCAAACAACCTTCATCTCATTCGCGTATCCACCCTCCCCACCAGCATTTG